CCCCAAAACCCCAAAACCCCTTCATTATTTATAGATATTTTCTATAGATTTAATCCATTAATAAAAAGAAAAAGGATGTAAAATCATTGTTAATCCTTAAGTCATAAATTAAAAATGTACAATCTTATAATATCTCATAGCCTATTTCTTACCCAAATTCTTAGCAATTTGAGCTAACTCTGAGGCTTAGAGAGATGAATCATATTCTACTAATTCAATAAGTAAGGTTATACTTGCATAATGCAGTTAATTTTGCAATCAAACATTGTAGTCAGGCATAGTAAGAAAGATATTATGGCTATTAGAGCTTTCTTAACTCATCCAACTAATTCTTTTGATCTGCATGTCCATATTTCTCTAGAAACTTAGCATAGAGTTCTAAGAAGCTCACATGAATAGTTGGCTTGCAATTTTCTATGCTTTGCTTAAAATCATTCTATAAACATCAATTAATTTTGGGGTATATGGGATAAGAAACTTACGAGAAATGCTTTTCTAACAAATACTTCCTTCTCAGAAATAGCTGCCAGATCCATCTCTTTAATGCTCGGATCATCCTTTAATAAGGCTTACTTATCTGTTTTAGAATCCACTATGACTGGCATCCAAATGCTCCCAGTTAAATCCTCCTCTTCATCATCAATAGTCTCCTCATAGTATTCATTTTTTAGCTAATCAACTAACTCTCTCTTTTCTACTCGCTTGAAGTGAGTTGCTTACTATAGTTACTTAATAGGTCTCATCAATGCATCATTAACTAGAGTTGATAGATCACTGCCAGAGTACCCTTCAGTTTGTTCTGCAAGGAAATCAAGATCCTCATCTGTGAGTGTATGATGTGTCCCAGAGTGAAGTTTCATGACATTCTTCCTAGTCTCTTTATCAGGCATAGGGACTAGGATCTTCCTTTCAAATCTTCTGAGTGCTGCAATGTCTAATTCCCAAGGCATGTTTGTAGTTGCGAATACAGACACCTTCTCCGGAATATTCTTAATCATATCCATTTACTTAAGAAACTCAGTTTTAATTCTTCTCTCAGTCTCACTTTCATTGCCGGTTCTTTTTCTGCCTAATGAATCCATCTCATCTATTAGAATTATCGATGGACTGTGTTCCCTAGCTAATTCGAATAGCATTTAAAGCAATTTCTCACTTTCACCTATAAACTTTGAGGTGATGTCTGCTAGCGAAACCCAGAAACAGGTGGCTTTTGAATGATAACAAACAGCTTGTGTCAGCATAGTTTTACCAACTCCAGGAGGCTAATTAATATAAAATAAATCTATGAATCTTACTCCGTATAACAGGATTGATTACCAAGGTCTTGCCTTGCCTTTAAATACCTAAGGCATTATACTTGGGAGTACAAATGTCTCATTGATAATTTCTTTTGCATAGTCATTCCCTGCAATGTCATCGAAGCTCATGCATTGTTATTTGGTCATAATACATTCTAAATTGGGGTTAATATGAGGATTAAATCTTATACTTTTGAGATGCTATTTTAGATCTCGGGTATATTTATGAGAAAGTTCCTCAAATATATTTAGTCCTACTTGATAAGATGTACTAGAGTCATTTTGTAATTTAGCTGACTTTATCACTGAAATATCCTGCTAATTTAGTTCATTATTATTACTATTCTAGTTCTAATTGTTATCAGTCAAACTGTTAAGTTTTTAAGAAATTAGATTAAGAGACTCCTATATTGGCTTATTTTTGTCGTAATTTCCAATCTTAAGAATCTGACTGAGATATTTTTCTTAGTTATTAAGGAAAGTATGAATATCCTTGAGGATATCATCTCTTTCCATAGTGCATTTATTTGAATGATTTTAACAAGCATCATCATGACTATGATTCTCACAGGCATCATTTTCATTGTAAGTTGTATTGGTATGAACCGATTAAGTTACTGAAACGGCATAATTTGAACTTTTTCTATTAATTGAGTTTAATTTCATCTCTTCCTCAGAGAAATCTGCGTTATTTACAGTTTTCTTTCGTTTGCAGCATGTGCTAGTTACAACTCCTTTGATTGAACTACTATTATTGCTCATGCCTCCCTTAGAAGAAAATCTATAAAGACTCGAATCCTACTTGCTCATTGTTGATAAGGATGCTTGTTAACTTGTGCTATTAATTGTACTTTTTGTGCTCCTTGGAGATTTTTACTAATTTGGTTCTAAAATAAGTTACATAAGAAACTGTTCTATGTCTTTAAATAATTAGACTATTAAGTATGTATATAAGTCAAGTCCCAATCAGATTTCAGTATCGAATATATAAGTTTTTCTCAAATTTTATTCAAAAAATGATGTTAAGTACTTACTATTTGCAGCTACAGCATTCCTGAAAAATTAATGCTGATTTGTATTAAAGGGATTTAAAAAAGCTCCACTAAGCCCAAGTTATAACTGCGGTCCCTGACCTAATCCGGTTACTGAGGTCTAATTAAACTGTGGCTGTATTGACCCCTTATTTTGATGGTTTTAATGTCTAATTTGCCTTCCAGGTGAAGAATTTTAAAGTTGCTTTGCAGCAAATCCGTTGCTCTTTCGTACGCTTTCCTCAGCTAAAATAATTATTAATATGTGCCGAGATGCTAAATATTGAATTTACCTATCGTTTGCATCATTATTTTTTTACCATTGCGTTCCTTTCTTACCCATAAACTTAGCATTTTGTTTTGATAATATTTAAGAGTATTAAAATTATTAACTCCCTTCTTATTAATTCTAATTATTAATTTAGACTCTTCATTCTCTTACTCTATATTATGCTTATTTAGTCATAAGGGGTTTTGGGGTTTTGGGGTTTTGGGGTTTTGGGGAGATCGGAAGAGCACA